CACCTCTTTGCATGCCTCTCTGGAAGACACTTCCTGACAAATTCTTAGACGAATGGTTGATGCAGCCAGAGGAACCTCATTGAAACTTTTTGCAACCTCAGCACCTCTTTTAACCTTAACTTCTTGACTACCACAATCTCTCAATCTTATGCCCAAAGCCATTTCCCCTTCCAACATCTGAACATCACTTTACTTACTCAAAACACATGGAGAATGAACAACAACTGCAATCTTCACTGTCCACCTAAGACGGAAGGTTCAGCAGCAGGAGTGCTAATCATGACCGCGCCTTGCTGACCAACTACAGGCTGCAACATTGAACGCTGAGGGCAATCAGCACTTTCAACAATCCAAAAATTGGCCCAACATTGGAAGGGTCAGCTCAGAGATGCAGACGGACGGCACAGGAGAGCCTACAGAGGTCAGGGAGGCCGCTCAGGCCAAACAGATGCCAGAACTTGCGCCTGGCACGTCTGCAGTACCGTCAAGCACAGCTACAACTTCTCTTGCTGCTGTTGAGGACCAGGACAGTGTCACGTTTGTCCGCATTGAGAACAGCACGGGTAGAGGAAAAGTGATCAAGGTTGCAGCTGGCAGAGGCAACAAGGAGGTCGTATTTGTTCACATCAAGGAGGGCAAAGGCCAATGCTACTCCAAGGTGCAGTGGACACTGTTCAAAGCCAATCCGGACGGACCTGCCTCTGACCCCTCTCCTCTTCCTGCTTCTTTGCTGACCAAAAGCATTGCCACCAGAAGCCCTCTGCCTGGAAAAATGCCCGGCAAGCAGCCGGGTATACCTGCGTTTTGCCCTGCGCATGTTGCTGTTAGATGATCAGATCTTTGCAGCATCAGGCGCCCTGTCCTTGGGCTAGGAGTAGGAGAGAATCCAGAGGTCCTGCTTGCTTGCGTCTGTTGCTTTGGGGAGAGCGCGCTGAAAGAGGCAGTTGGGAAGGGAACTGACAGAAAAGGCAAAGGGAAGGAGGCGGAAAGTCTTGTGAGAAGAGACCAAATTGGGGCAATAGAGCCGTTGAGGTGCCAATGCTTGCAGCAACAGCACACTTGTTGGCAGGCAATCCAAGAAGGGGGCTTTTGGTAGCAACTCTTTTTGTGGCCATGCCAAGGCTTGGTCTAGGTGTGTCTTCTCCCCCACACTCAATCTTGATCCGAGTCTTTCCGGGCTTGAGGTAGACAAAGGTTACCTCATCATCGTCCGAGATTGGTCCCTCATCCTCGTCCTTGACGCTGTTGACGCTCCCTTGGCTTGGTGCAAAGATGTCGGTCTGTGTGGTAGCTTCTGCCCTCTCAACGTTCCGCCAGTCTTGTTGGGCTTGGAAGATTTTGTCGCTCTGAGTGTTCAACGCAGC